GACCAAAATAATATTTTGTGAAATGCCTTTACAGGTCGATTTTCTAAAATTTTGAAGGATTAACTTTTTCCTGTAATAAATTACGGTTAATGGTGTAGGTACTTGAGAGGATTAAATTATAAACACCCTCCTTAACCAACAAATTTTGCTAAATATCCTTTCAGGTAGTTGTATTAATATCTTCAAATTTCTAAATGACAAAGTTTACTTTCAACTTCATTTCAGTCTTTATTGTTGTGTTGTGTTAACCAGTGGGAAAAATGGCAAAATTAATTGAGTCGTGGGTAAAATCTTATTCAGATTTTGTTGTAGAAGGTGATAACCAGGTGTTTTGTAAAACATGTTCTAAAATTGTAAGTACTTCTTATTTTATATTTTATTTTGACCTTTCACAATGGTAACTCAAACTACAGTAAAATATTATTTTAACTTACAGTTAAAAAAAAGTAGGGCAACTTTACAACGTACGCATTTATTTAATTTAATTAAAACTTCAACATCTACAGGAATTTATTTGTTTTAGATTCCATGTAAAAAAATCTGATGTGTCCAACACATGACTTTCCTATCTAGTTTTTATAGGCTTTTTCTGGTTATTTTGTACAACCTATTGCAGCATCCCTATAAATGTTTAGAGGATAAACTAAATATATACATTGTCCACATACATCTACCTCGAAACATTTTTCTATAGATATTCATTGAAAACGAAAATACTGAAAAATTTAAATTTGGCACTTTTCCATTACGGTCCATTTTAGAAAAATCATGTATAAATAAAAATTTTAGAGAACGATATCGTAAACAACTTTTAGTTTAACAATTTTCATAAAAATCAGAATTTTGCACATTTTGTCAAATTTCTCGGATACGGACCATTTCAGGAAATTTTAACATTTAACAAAAATTATAGATAATAATATTAGAAGTAACTTTTATTTGAACAATTTTCTTCTCCAAACATAAATAACAGATATATTCCATAAAATATAAAAACGGCCTCCCATAAAGTACCCCCCTAGATGTTCCGACTTTGTCCAAAATCTAACCATTTCACTACAGGCCGAAATAAACCTTAAGTTTAAAATTTAATGTTTTTTCTTTATCCGTTTTTGAGTTTTCTTCAAAATTCTAAATTTATACATTTTCTCAAATATCTCGAATACGGTCCATTTTAGAGAAATTATGTAAAGAATAAAAATTTAGAGAATTATATTACAAACAACTTTTATTTAAACAATTTTTATAAAAAAATATGTTTTTTACATTTTGTCAAATTTCTCGAATACGGACCATTACAGGAAAATTTGACAAAGAACAAAAATTATAGATAATAATATTGTAAGTAACTTTTATTTCAATAATTTTCTTCCCCAGCGTAAATAACGAATATATTCCATAAAATATAAAAATGACCACCAATAAAGTACCCCCCCAAATGTTCCGACTCTGTCCAAAATCTAAACAGTTCACCTCAGGTCGAAATAAAACTTAAGTTTAAAATTTAATGTTTTTTCCTCTATCCGTTTTTGAGTTTTCTTCAAAATTCGAAATTTACACATTTTCTCAAATATCTCGAATACGGTCCATTTTAGAGAAATTATTTATAGAATAAAAATTATAGAGAATTATATTACAAACAACTTTTAGTTGAACAATTTTTATTAAAAATTATTTTTTTTACATTTTGTCAAATTTCTCGAATACGGACCATTTTAGGAAAATTTTGCATAAAACAAAAATTATAGATAATTATATAAGAAGTAACTTTTATTTAAAGAATTTTCTTCTCCAAACGTAAATAACAGATATATTCCATAAAATATAAAAATGACCACCTATAAAGTATCCCCCCCCCCCAGATGTTCCGACTCTGCCCAAAATCTAATCAGCTCATTGGACGCTGAAACAAAGCTTAAGTTTAAAATTTGGTGTTTTTCTGTGTATCGGTTCATGAGTTATGCGACCTACACACACACACACACACACACACACACACACACACACACACACACACACACACACACACACACACACACACACACACACACACACACACACACACACACACACACACACACACACACACACACACACACACACACACACACACACACACACACACACACACACACACACACACACACACACACACACACACACACACACACACACACACACACACACACACACACACACACACACACACACACACACACACACACACACACACACACACACACACACACACACACACACACACACACACACACACACACACACACACACACACACACACACACACACACACACACACACACACACACACACACACACACACACACACACACACACACACACACACACACACACACACACACACACACACACACACACACACACACACACACACACACACACACACACACACACACACACACACACACACACACACACACACACACACACACACACACACACACACACACACACACACACACACACACACACACACACACACACACACACACACACACACACACACACACACACACACACACACACACACACACACACACACACACACACACACACACACACACACACACACACACACACACACACACACACACACACACACACACACACACACACACACACACACACACACACACACACACACACACACACACACACACACACACACACACACACACACACACACACACACACACACACACACACACACACACACACACACACACACACACACACACACACACACACACACACACACACACACACACACACACACACACACACACACACACACACACACACACACACACACACACACACACACACACACACACACACACACACACACACACACACACACACACACACACACACACACACACACACACACACACACACACACACACACACACAGCCATCATGGCGAAAATAGTCAAAACGGATTCAGGGGACCTCAAAACGTAAAAATCCGTCAAAAACTCGAGGTCGAAAAAATCATGATTCCTATACTTTCCTTATATCTGTATACAGATAGGAAAGTAAAAAAGTTTCAAATCGACCAACACGCGAAAACACTCTCACATAGAGCAAAGCAGAAATCTAAAGACACTCGCAGACAAAGTCAACTTCCCTTGAAACAAATTTAGAATCTGGATCGTCTAGAAGTGAACTAATGAAGATTTATGCAAAGCTTCAGTGACTTTGAATATCCCTTTTATACGATTAAATAATCCAAATCTTCGATCATTTTTGCAAAAATACTGTAAATTTAATATTCCAGAGCAAAGTATATTACGAAAACGTGGTGTTGGCAGTTTTTACATTGAGACTCGCGAAAAAATTCGTGAGATTACCGTTGGAAACCATTTCTACATTATTGTGGATGAAACAACAGACTCTTGTGGTCGATATATAGCCCATTTAATGATAGGTTCATTACGCGAAGAAATGCAAATTGGTACATATCTAATCGCTTCAAAGCAATTAGCTAAAACAAATAACTTGACAATAACTCCTTTTATCCAGACAGAATTGTCTTCCTTTTTTCTTCCGGAAGCCGTTCCAACAGAAAAATGTTTATTGCTGTTATCCGATGCTGCACCGTACATAGTAAAAGCCGCACAAAATTTAAATATGTTTTATGAAAACTTAATCCATGTTACATGTTTGGCTCATGGCCTTAACAGAGTTACAGAAGAAATTAGGTCTAACTTTCCTTTAATAAATGATTTAAATAGTAATGTAAAAAAAATATTTCTTGAAGCTCCTCTAAGAACTCAATTGTACAAAGAAAAATTTACTGAATTACAGATGCCACCGGAACCTGTGATTACTCGGTGGGGTACCTGGCTTAAAGCTGCCTTTTTTACGCAGATAATTATGAAAAAATTAAAGAAATCATATTTGATTTTGATGATTCACCTAAAGGAATATCTAATACAAAGAAGTTGTTTCAAAATCACATATTACCAAAGCAATTAGTGTTTTTAAAAAATTATGCATTTGTACCCAAAATTATATTAGATTTAGAACAAAAAAATTTACCTTTGGTGACTTCAGTAAATTTAATTAAGACGTTTGAATCAGAGTGTAAAAATATCCAGGGCGATATTGGAAAGACGATTTTTCATAAATTTTCAAATGTAATTTTAAAAAATGAAGAATTTATTGTTTTAAGAAACCTTGCTAATATTTATTCTGGTAACTTTAAAGATATTAATACTATTCATCCAGATATTTCAGGAAAATTTAAGTTTGCACCTATTATTTCTGTAGATGTCGAAAGGAGTTTTTCTTTGTACAAGTACATACTTACTGATAGGAGACAATCATTTAATACAGATAATTTAGAAAAACATCTAATTGTTCATTCGTTTTATAATAATGTTGATTTGTAAATAAAATTAGTTAATAATTAAATAATTATTAAGTATTATATTAGGTATTGTAAAATAAAACAAATAATAAATATTACCTAATAAACTATTTCGATCAAATAACAAATTACTCTTATTGCATATGCTCTGCATATTTTTCAATTTTTTACGCATATTTTGCTGCATATATGCGCATATTTAACTACTTTTTGGGTGCATATATTCCTAGGTCTAGTTATCTCGAACCCTTAATATTCATCATATCATATCATATTTTATAAGTTTGTAATTCACTAGCCTTACCCTGTAATTTGAAGTAATCCCGCTTTAATTTACTGAAAGAACCAGATAGCATAGTTAAGAAGCTAGATATAATGCAAATGTTTGATTATATTGAAATGGGTATGTGCACGTTGGATCAACACAGGATTTTTCACAACAGATCAGTAGAGAAGATGTTAAATAAATCAAAATAAAAAAAATAGTATTTAATAATATTTTCAGTAAAATTTAAGTACCTAGTCAGTCACGAAATGTATGAGTATTCCTCCATAAAAAAGGGAAAAAAATACTAATAATACTTACCCATATTTTTTATACTCTTTAAAAAACTTAACAAAAATGTTCACTCTATTTCGTTCGACTAACTGAAACTTGACGATATAAAAAACAGTCCGCGCCAATTATTGTATTTAACTAAATTTTTATTTTTTTATCTGGTTTGTGGAAAGGGTAATATACATTTATGTATTAAAACCTTTTATCTATGTCAAAAAAAAATAATTTGTTTATTAGTTTAGTGGATACAATTAAAATTTATAACAATACACCGCCTTAATTGGCATATTATCAATAAAATAAATAATATTAAATTAGCCATTGGGACAATGACTTACATTATCGATTTCCCTCAAGATTTATCAGCTTTGTATTTGTTTATATAAATCTTGGAAAAATATGTTACCTAAGCTTTTAATGACTGTCATTATGAAATCTATCTTTATGAATGCCGCGAAAATATCAATACAGTGTAAATATTATGAAATTTTATAAAGCGTCGAGGATTGTACTCGTCTCGTTTTCGGTTCTCGGAAAATTGGTCTAAAAAAAGGTCTAAAACGATATTGTCCACTTACATTTCACTAGTAGGGTGTACACCACATCCCCAACTAGCCATTCATAAAAGTGTATTTGTTGCATAGAAATAGTATAGAAAGCCGATTCCATATATCAAAAATGAAACCATAAGGAGAAAATAGTGTGTCGGAGCTCATGCGTATAACGGTGCTGGCGCGAACAGGACCGGTGCAAGTTTTTTATTGATCGAACAAATAGTTCGCACGATATTTCAATCATACATTTTTAGAGATGATTCTATACAAAAAACGATTAAAAAAATTTCAAGTTAAGGTAAATATGGTTCTGACAGTTCTTATTAAGAAAGATATGGCATAAAATATGAATTAGTTAATTTTCGGCAATCATTAGTACAGTAGTAATGAGATTTTGCTTGTGATTTTAAAAATACTTTCCAGAAAAACCACGTGCTCCGGTTTTGACTACGTTTATTATTAAACAGCGAAATTATATACAAAAACTTTAATCCACAATCTAAATTAGGTACTATCACAAGAAAATCACTGTTACAATAATTAATTACTTAACCAAAAACTAAAATACTTTTTAGGTACCTACGTAACCAGAAAGGAGCTGGACCATTTATCCTAATATTGATTTTCTCTCTCCCTACGGTAAAACTTAAAACAATAACAAATTGCCTATCTACTAGGGTCGGTAACTAAACGTATATACATAATGGGCGGATTTTGTTTATACTTAACATTACACTCGCGCATTTAAATATAACTATGCATATAAATATTTACAAACAAAGATACTTTTCCAAACAGGCAATCATTGGTACTGTAGTCACGAGATTTTGCTTGTGATTTGACATCTTATTTGATAATATCATTTGCTACAACTAAATTTAATCTGGGGAGTGCAAAATAGGGCCCAGGAATATTATGTTCGATATTTTTTTACATTTTGTCAGCCGAGACTATGAGTCGTTAGACAGAAAACCTTTCATGTTACCATTTTCAATATAAATTAAAAAATTAAAAAATACTACATTTACTTGGTACATATTTTATTTTAATTTTGAACCCTTTTAAAACGGTCTTTCGGTTCCATAATAAAAATTAGTTGCTGCTTACTAGAAACATTCTATATAGCCTAAACCAATTTATAGTTTGTTTTCGATCAATTTAATACAAAGATTTAAAGTTTTTAGTCGATGATAACATTCCACACCAGCACATTGCAAACCTATTTTATAAATAATAGGAATAAACTTGTAAATCATTAATTTGGTAGTTATCTCACTCATATGATTTTTTTGTTTATATGAATATTTCGATTTCTAAATATATTTTGGCCTTACAATACGAAGCGTTTTGTATCTACCACTTTTTTAATGAACGATGAATGTTGACAGGCGTGTACCTTTTTCGGAACAAGAGGCGTTTTAACGAAGGAAATGATTTTCGAGCTATCTAGTTAGTTTTCGGAAAAATAGAAAACGTTTGAAGAAAGTTGTCAATAACAGTTTGTCGTTCATGTGTTTCATTTTGTTCAGCTTTCATACTAAATTGCGTAGAATATTTTTCCGATTCAAAATCGAGATTCTCGATATTTCCACAGTTTATTTATAATACCTTCTAAACTGGATTTATCTATCATTTTATATACTTTATAATATATGTTCATGCCCTACTTTTCACTTTATTAATAATTTTTTTTTAACATACTTCAAAATGGTAGGATATTCTCAATTCGTTGAAATATTTTTTTATGTATGTTGAATGTTGAGCGATAATTCTTTACCACGTTGCCCGATTTCTAGGATTCTTTTTGTTAGAAAAGGAAACAGTTTTATATTTATTTGTTTATTTATTGAATATTCCAACAGGTTTTACAACCTAATTACAGGAATACTTATTTATAATTAATAGTTTACATTATATATATATTTAAATAATTACCTATGTATGATCCTCACTCACATTCTAGTAAATAAAAGTACAATACATTAAGTCAAGATCTGAAGATGGGATCCATAAGAAAATCATTAACATCTTTATTTTTAAAGTAGGTTTTTTTTTAAATTTCTTTAAACCTTACTGGTTCGAACGCCGTAAGGAATGAAGAAATGTAAATAATTGTTGTGCCAGCCAAAAAACGAAGAGGAAGTACCGATTAAAATATCGAGTGACAGAAGAGTTCCTAAGATTGTTGAGATCGGGTTTATGTTTTAAAATGCCTTAAAACCGATATCGATAATGTCTCCCCGTCGCTGGGCAGCCTGTATATAAATATACAGATCTCCATTTACATAATTATAATTCTTAGGTAGGTTTAGATTTGCAGACATAAATCTTGTAATAAATATAACAGCTGCCTAATACATTGATTACATTTTCATTAGCCAATGTAAAAATGTCTTTTATTGTACCTAGGATTTGACTAAACACTACACAAAACTAAAAATAAAATGCCACTTTCATCGTGTAATTAATGCCGCGTTTGAGAATCCACATCGGATGCATTTTTTACATCTCGAGCGTTTTTTATCCACATCGGACACATCTGTCCCATTACATTTACGTATACTGAATCACGTGATCAAAGATTTACTACTTACTACATCTCAGATGCATCCGATGTGGATTCTCAAACGCGGCATAAATAATAAACTACAAACGGTCCTGTAAGGGCAGCGTCATATAGCCTTGAAACACCGGATTTTAGTGCTATTGCCAGGTCAATATTGAATTTGTAGGTGAATCGCTTATTGAACATTAAAAATACGGTATTAATGACATTAATACGGTATTTGTATATATTTTTGGGAATGTAATTACACATAAATATTATTAGTTGATTATTTAAATGTTTATAAGTTATTTTGTGGCGATATTTCGTAGATATAAACTGTTTAAATCATATAATTTAAAAATTAATTAATTTAAAATTCTTTTCTGTTAGGTATGTTTAATATATTTGGCAACACTACAGGGACAAGTCATGCTTATTGCGCAAGCTTCTAGACACACTATTTTGCGATGTCAGGCGTCTCTGCAGACGCGTTTTTATGCACAGTAGGTTTCAATTTCTGCTTAAATGTTATGTTTATATTGGTCTTCTATATTATTTCTATGATTTGTTGTGAAGTTCTCATCATCATCTATTGTATAGTCCAGGAGACAGTGACGATTTTCGGTATTTATTTTCCCAGTCAGCAAGCACGAATAGAGAATTGTAGGATTAGCAATTCTAAGCAAAATTAATATATATTTAGAGGGGGATCCGATGGGCTGAGGCCGAAAATGCGTCAAAACATACGAGAACACGGCCCTTTTTAAAAATAGTTTTAGTAGTAAGAGATGTACTGAAGTTAAGTAAAAAAATAGTCTGATTAATCTGTATGGATAATATATTTGGCAAGTGCATAAAATACACTTTCAAACGAGTTATGTACGCAATTATTTCTACGACCACAATTATTTAAAGAATGTTTCAGGTGTTTTGTATATTAAAGTGTACGCATAGGACACATAAATAAAATCTTATATCACAATGTTTCACCGAACCAGTTGATTTATTTATAGAAATTAAATATAATAATTGAAGATATTACAGAAGAAAATAGGGAAATAAATTACATTTCCTTTCACACTTTTATATAATAATGGTTTTATTTAGAATTCACGAATCACTTATTACTCTACATTAATTATAATTATTGTTAGTTTCGTTATGTCAAATCATTTATACTAGAGGTGTGAGAAAAATACAGTGAACTGTGGAACGCCAATATCGTTGGATGCGCGTGGTAGAAATGGTCCTATATTACTGCTAAAAACATAGCTAAATTTTTCACGGAAACACTGTACTTTTGACATTTGCGATACTCCGACGCATATGCATTATTGATGTAATCTCATGATTTTACAGTAATAGTTTTTGCAATTTTAGTGTGATTTTTAGGTTATTATGGTTATTCATTTTATTTGGTTCTGATCTTTTGCGCTTTTAGAGTATTTGTCTTTTATATAGTTTTTAATTTGAATTTTAATATTGTGGTCTATTTATATTTGATTGCTGCTTTTCGACTAATGCTTTATTCTTTTTGTGTTAAAATAAGCTTTATAACCATTAAGTACATGCTTCTAGTTAATATCTACCTAATCATCATCGGGTGCTTGCAACAATGGGAAAAAGTGTATGGTTTTTTTGGTGTAAAGTTAGACGCCTTCATTTTTCAGGTAAGTTATTTGTAGTTATTTTTTACTTAAAAGGATAGCAATACGTCCTGGTTCTGGGTGTGACTTTTGGGTTTTAGCTATCTGAGCCAAATTGTCGGCTAAGTGTCCTCTTTTAGGGCACTCAGAACCGAAAACTATATAGGTATATAATATGTTTTTTTTTTAATTATTTTTTAATATGTATGCAGCTTGGATGCGGGCTTTAGGAACAGATCCTAAGACTGAACACTGACTGCTATAAATGCCGTTTTTAGAGCACATTTCATAGTAAGTGATTTCATTCTAGTAGCAATGAGGAAACGTTTAAAAAACATGCTGTACCAGCTATTACTTTAAGACCTCGTCTCTT